CATGTATGGAGAAATTACTTAATTCTAAGGATGCAAATATTAGTCAGCCAAAAAAAAAAAAAAGGAAAAAAGAAAAATGTTCAAGAAAAATATAAACATATATACCTAGACTGGGCATCAGAAAGTGGACACAGATTGACCAGATTGATATTCAACGGATGACTTAGGAAATCCATTCAAGTTCTTGCTCCCTAGGAGTGAATAATTTAAAAAGAAATTAGCATCCAATTAAGGGAGATGGTTATCTCATCAGAAGCAAATCAACAGACATATATACCTGAGCTGAGCTGCGCATTAGAAACTAGTCAATTAATAATTGAAACTCGTCAAGGGAAAGTAAATGCTGGAACAGAGTCATATGTAACATATACATAATTGTTGCAGCTGTGAATAATCAAAAAATGAATTAGCGAGACAAACATCTTATTAGCGAATCAATCAAGATTAGATAATTGAGCAAATCAACAGAGATTAACACTTGGATTCATTCAGAAATGAGAGATAGAAACATTTATTTATGAAATACCAGTGAGAGAGAAGGAATGGAATGCAAGTGATTGAAAAAGGGAGATATAACGAGACTTACCTACTATATCGGAGGAAAGGTAGGAGGACAATCTTATCATCAGGATTCTCCCACTCCAACGAGTTCCACCATTGATTCGGATTGTCAATATTGATAGATTTGACAGCAGGAAGAGATGGTTGCGCGTTTTCCCTTCCAAGACAAAAGGGAATCCTCTTTACCTTCGGACAGTGCGATATTTTGATCTTATTGAGAGATTCACAAACCATTACTCTTTTTTCGGGGCAGATTCTCTTCAATTCTGGTAGGAATTGCAAGTCCAATACACTTAATTTTGGAAGAGTGATCAATATTGGAGTAGTTGTTTGATTTCCTTCCTCTTCTTCTTCCCATCCTATTATTTCCTCTATCTCGCAACAATTTTTCATGTCAATCAGCTCCAAGTTTTGGAGGCCCTGACCCTGCAACAGCTCACATGGAAAAAGCTTCTTCAATTTTGAACAATTGCATACCCTTAGCTGTTTAAGATTGGAAAAGATGTGAAGGGATATTGTCGGTGCAAGCGATGCTCTTGTTTTTTCCACTTTTACAACATTCCGCAAGCCATACAAACCCTCAAGAGTTAGTACTTCAAGGTTATTCATAACTGTCGAGGAAGTAGATGAAGATGATGACAAAGAGACCACGCACACTATCCCAAAGCAGTCTTCCAAAGCACATGTTCGCAATTGAGTAAAATCTTTTTGAAAAATAGAAATATCATCGACCGCATAGCAATGTTTAATCCTCAAATCCTGAAGGTCATTCGGAAGGACCAACTCGTCTTTTTCTTCTATATCGTATCCGATTAAATTTACCTGTTTAGGAAGATCATTATTGTTGAACTCCCAAAAATACCCCTCCTTATCTTTGCCTTTGTCTCCCAATTTGATCAAGTAATGATTGAGTTCTCCAAAAAGGTTCAACTTGCTAACAAAACTACTGAAGTCTTTCAGCCAAACAAATCTAACTTCAAACCATTCCAGCATCTTCAATCTTGCTACTTCTTCTGCTCTTATGTCAGTTGAAAAAATCGGATGTTTACGTAGGTATTGGAGGCGGAAGAGCTTACTGATTTTTCCTTCTGGAAGCACCCTTAGGTTTGGACAAGATAAATCAAGATATTGCAGATTTTCTAACATTTCAATGCCTTCAGGAGCCTCACAAAGGCCTGCTCCATCCAAATCCAACTTCTTCAGTGCTTTAAGCTTTGACAAGGAAGGCATGCGTTTTAAACTCTCACATCCACAGAGGATTAGTGTAGTGAGATATTCCAAGTTACATATGGAATTAGGTAGAACCTCAATGCCAGTATTAGAAAGATCAAGAAACTTCAGCAAGGGCATGTTAGCAAAAAAACACTCTGAAATTTCTCTCAATCTGTTATTACCCTTCAAAGTCAAGGTTGAGAGCATCGAGCATTTGAGGGACATATTTTGAGGGATATATGATATTTCATTGTTCATGAGGGAGACCTTGTCTAGAGCTTCATTCCATTCATCCTCATCTGGTATCTCTGTCAATCTCATTCCAGCTTTTACCATAAAGCAACCAGGACCTGTGCTCTTGATGCGCAATGCCATGTCCCTCACAACATCATGCATCTTAACACACGCCTTTTCATTGGCTTCCTCTAACAAACAACAGTTTAAAAGCCTATTTAAAATAACATTTCCTTTATCATGCATTTCTCTTCTGCTTCCTAATTTTTCAACAATTCCCTCACAAATCCAGTCTTCAATTAGGTCCCGTCTTCTAATCATCCAATCTTCTGGATGCAATGAGCAATATAAGAAACACTCTTGGATGCTTGAATTTGGTAGACGGTCATAACTGAACTTCAAACATTTAAATATCTCGTCCTCTAAATCTTTCTCTGTGTCCACCACGCATTGACGCAATTCACGTAATGCATTTCTCCACTCAAAAATATCTTGTACTCCTCTCATGCTCCCCGCAATGACAACAATGGCCAATGGCAAACCAGCGCATTCAGCCACCATAAGCTTCAAAATCTCTTCCAAATTGGGAATTCGTAGAACATCTTGCCCAACCTTATCTAAAAACAAGTTCAAAGACTCTTGCTCTAGTAGAGGTGGCACTTTAACTACCTGAGATTTCAAGTAGTAGCATACATCAATCGATCTGCTAGTAATAACAATTTTACACCCATTTTCCATTGTTGGTTTTGGGATTCCAATTCTGTGAAGAGTAAATTTATCCCACACATCATCTAAGATCAATGCATATTTAACTTCTTTCATAACATCCATCAGTCTTGATGCCCGGCTCAATTCATCCCACAAATCTGAAAGACTTATGTTCATTGCCCTAGCAATGTCATCTTGCAATCTGAAAACATTAAGAGGATGTGATACTGTAACCCAGACAACCTTCTCAAACCCAATAGCCTTATTCAATATCAGTAATTCATTATGGATGTGTTTCATAACAGTGGTTTTGCCAACTCCACCAATTCCACAAACTCCAATAATTCCAACCTCGTGACCCATTAAGTATTTCCAAATTTTTTCCTTCACATTAACCTCGCCCACCATATTCTCTGTTGGCAAAGGGATTCCAATAGGTGGAGACCTTTTAATTACAAGACCTTCAGGGAAACTACCTCGATCGTAAATTTCCCTCACATCTTGAATCTTTTGACGAACACGTCTTCCAAGGTTACCACGTGACAAGTATGAAACAGTCTGCACCTGTTCTTCAATATCTGGCATTTCAATTTCAATGACCTTCCTTGCATCTTCAAGCCATCCCTGCACTTCTTCTTTAACTTGTTGTTCCAAGTCATCCACTGTTAGTAGTTCTGCTACTTTATCATTTCTTCTGCGTTTTAGATCTGCCACTCTTTTTCTGAGATCATCCACATCATTTTGGAAGTTTATGCGGCAATCTACTTCTCCAAGAGCTAGCCCTATAATGGGCTCCATGAATGAAATTTCTAAAATGAAAAAATAAAACAAAGGGGGGGCCGTATCATTAAAATGTTTGTTTGGTAGTGTATACTTGCGATGACCAAAGAAAAGATAGTGTATTCTTGCAAGCAAGGGAAAAAAAAAAAGGAAGAAGAAGAAGAGGCAAACTCTCTATTTATATTTTGTATATTAATTTTTTATAATTAATATCTTTCAAATTTTTTACTTTCAACATTTTTTATAATTTCTTTTCAGTTAAAAAAAAACATTTTTTATAATTTAAAATTCATAAAAAATTTAAAAATTAACAATAAAATCTCATATTTGCCCCTTGACTTTATTAATAATTTAAGATTTTTTTTTTAGGTTTTAATTATAGAATATATTGAGTGAAAGGTGTTAATCATAAAAAAATAATGCGCAAAATATAAAAAGGAGATTTGACAAAACAAAAGGAAAAAAAAATACATTTTTTATTTCATTCTCTAAAATTTTACAATGTTAAATGTTAAATTATCTAGTGTTGTAATTGATTTCTTTTTTAGAAAAAAATAC